GAACGTTCAGAAATTTACGAAACAGTGAGAAAGTGCTTTCAAACGAAATAAATAATTAAATTACACATGGCATCATTTTGAAAAAATGTAATGTATTTTAAATAGATAATCAATTTCAATAAAATTTCATATATTCCTAAGTACTATAGTAATTAGCAAAATTGCATGGTGTCTTTATATAAAAACGAGATTTCTCGTTACCGGTACGCAATGTGTTAACACGTTGAACGCCGTGGGGTCACCGGTGACCCCGAGCAAATCGAATTACTGTAGTTCTCTCAATTAAACGATGATTATATGAAAACATTTCTATATTATAAATAATGCTACCTAACGTGACATTCGGCTAGATGAACGTGGGATAATAATAATGCAATTCGATCAAATGATTTAATATTCCATTTTTTCCATTCTGCGTATTTTCCTCTACGAAATCGTGCGGCGTTCAACGTGTTAATATCGTATAAATCTTTACTGCTAATGAAAATTGTAGTATGTTTATGCTCCTCGTGATTTATTTGTCGAGGGAATATAATAGATTCACAGCTATAACGTCTCGATATTCTCCCTATCCTTGCGTGATGGTATTCCTACAATCCGTTTATAAGATATTCCTGTACGTATGTGCATAGAAATGACGTAAGATTATACCGGAAGTTATAACGTTATTCGAATTTTCATGCGACATCCGTAAGTGGATTTTCCCCGGAAGAAATTTCATGGATTCGATCGTATAATTCAATGGACGATACACGAGAGGTCGGATTCGAAAGTATGCACGGTATAACCTCGATTATTCGAATCGATTAGGCAACACGACGTTCGGGTAATCGAAATATATTGCTTTGCGACTATAGAAAATCAAAAATGATTTGTCAATTTTAACATTAACGTAACCAATAGTAAATCATTTATTTTGTACTTTAAGATTAAAAGTTTTCACTCTTCTATAGAATTAATTATTGTATCTTTTTTATTATATTGTGATTAAAAATAAGTATCTACAATATTAATATAAATGCTCAATCAAATCCCAATGAATACAATAAATTAAAAACTATATATAATTAATAAAAATAAGTGACAAAAGGGAAAGTTTCAAAGTAGAAAATAGAAAATATTCGAATTAATCTTTTTCATCTCATTATCAGCGATATTTAACACAAAATAAAAAAAGGACCATTTTTACTTTAACAGAACTAATTGCTATCTCTTCCATCCTATTATAATTAATACATACAATTAATAAAAATAACAAAACAGTTTAAAAGAAAAAGAAATACAAGATATTCAAATAAATCTTCCTCGTCTCATAATCAACGATATTTAACACAAAATAAAAAAGTACCATTTTCACTGTAACAGAACTAATTGCTATCTCTTCCACCATATTCTAATCAATACATACAATAAATAAAAATAACAAAACGGTTTAAAAGTAAAAATACAAGATATTCAAATAAATCTTCACATCTCACAATCGACATTATTCAACGCGAAATAAAAAAGGTACCATTTTCAGAAATTCAGCCCAGCGCATGGTCGAGCGCGGTATTAGCCTTAATTTCGAAGACACGATGTCGAAACGGGAGGCACGTTTCCATCGGAAATAAAGGCAACCAAGGCTAAGCCGAGCGACAAATTACAGTCGGTGGACTCACCTGATTAATGTGCCTCAATTGGTCAATGAGCACGCTCGTATTTGTATTGCCGTAGGAAGTTGTCGGCGGTGACGCTGTCGTTACGGTGAACTCGGGGTTGTACTTCTGCGCCATTAAATTCGAGTCCACCACCATCTTCGTGTATCTGGAAGCAGAGGAAGAAAAATGGCCCCGTGAAAAACCATTGCGTCGGATGTCACGTTGCGTTTCGTTCGTTATCTGTCGCGAACGACGGCGAGCTTTTCCGCCGGCAATTGTTCTGAATCTCGAAAGAATCGCGTTGTTCCAGTCGGTCACTGGAAAACCGACGGTCCCGGTGTTATCGGGCTCTGGGTTATCGCGCTCTACGACGATACTCATTGATGTCAATGCTTCGCCCGTTATCTAACGTGCGATTTCTTGCTCACATTCATTCATATTTGTAGGGGAGCGCGAGTTATCTGTTACATGTTCTTTGAAACCGGCAATCTTTGTCGAAGCTGCACACTCTTTTTTTCTCTCTTGAATAACAACTTCGGAAACGACGTTCCTTTTATTCGGGAAGCGGCGGAGGTTTATGCCTTTGCTTCAACCGTTTGAACTTTCTATTATTTATATACTTTCTAGTATAAATGGCACTAGATTAATATAAAAGATTGATCGAAACGTGGATATTCAATTGTTTCTTCATTCTTTCGTAGATACTGATGTCTCAGAAAATATCTACGCTACTGAATTATTCTGAATTAGTGAATATTAAATGAACAAAATTAATATCAGTAGTCAGTCGGGTAGCTAAAAATGGAGAATTCAAGTATCCGTATTCGTTAACTAATAATATTACTGATTAATATTAGTAATTACTGCATAGATATAATAATAAATATATAGTTGCTAACAATAATAACTATTATTACATAAATATTATACAGTATATAATAATTACTATTCCTAGTTAACTAATATGAATAACTGAATTTTCAAAACACTCTTACTATCAATAACTATACAATTATTATCCACATAGTTACTATCATTATCAACTAATACTATTCAACTAACACGAACAATTGAATCTCCAAAACATTTTCAATCGATTTCGAAATGAACGAGCATCGGACCGTTCACAAAATAATTCTCCTAGACGCAGGTTTTCGCGTCGGAAGCGATCAGATACCGCGAGCGACGCGCCGCGTTCCCCGGAAACTACACCGAAGACCAACGTTCCCGCGAAGTTAGATAAATATCGAATAATAATTGCCGGGGAATATCAAGTGCCAGCCGTTCCAGCATCGAATGTCCGGCCTATCTATTTTCCCGATAAATCGTTTCGCGTGTCTCGTTGACGTGACAGGCGACCATGTGTGCGCGCCTCGCTTATTGTAATCTTAACCAGACGTTCGCAGAAGCATCGACGAGAAGCCGAGTGGCATGGCGATTCGCTGGACAGCTCCAGTAATCTTCCGTACCTCTGTTGCGAACCGGCGAACAAAAGAGAAAACCGACCGGCCGGTTTGCTGGCTGGCCGTTGCCGCATCATTTCCCGGAATGAGTTAAGCGATTTAATTTTAACGAGATTACCGGTGATTAATGGTTTCTTAGGCTTAATTTAACCTGCCGCCGAGACCCGTCCGCGAATAAAGAAATCGTTGCACGTGTGCTTAGTAGATAATTCGAGCCATCCGCGCGATTTCATACGCGAGGGGCACCGCTCCTCGGGAAACTCGGCTCGGAAATTTTGCCGAGGAAAATGTAGAAAATCGAAATAATGGAATATCAACTTGTGCGATTGAATTGCGTTTTTATTATTGCAGCATGATTTGTTGAATGTTATTGTATTAGCTGGTATTACTTATAGTATAGAGAAGTTTTCATATAATCATCGTTTAATCGGATGAATTATAGTAAATCGATTTGGTTGAGGTCACCGGTGACCCCACGAGATTCAACGTGTTAATCGGCTGTCGCGACGTTGACAGTGGGAAATGTTTTAGAATATTTTTGAAGAATATTTAGGAAGATAATACTTTTGAATAATGGTAGTAACGAACGTAATGGTGATAGTTATTGTCGTATCTATGGGGTGAATGAAATATCAGTATTTTTCTAATAGGATTCAGGAAATATAAAATTTCGATAGATATTGATAGTTGATCGGTTGTCGCCACGTTGACAGTGGGAAATGTTTTTGAATGTTTTTGAAGAATACTTATAAGTTTCGAGGAATTAATGTTTTATTGTAACTGAGTATTTATGTTTGAATTGTTGGCTTGTGGGAATACTTTTGAAATGTTTGAAAATATTGAGAGTTAATCGGTTATCGCAATATATTTTTGAATATTTCACATCCAATTTAAAATATTCTGAATAATGGTAGTAACGAATGTAATGACAATGGTTATTGTCGTATACATGTGATAAATCGAATAACAGTACTTTGTTAATAGGATTCAGGAAACATAAAATTTCGATAGATATTGAGAGTTAATCGGATATCGTAACGTTGAACGCCGGAAATATTTTTGAATATTATACATTCAATTTAGAAAAATAATACTTTTGAATAATGGTAGTAACGAATGTAATGGCAACTGTTATTATCGTATACATGTTAATAGGATTAAGGAAATATAATGTTTCGAGAAATCAATGTTTTATTCTGATCGAGTGTTTATATTTATATTATTAGTTTGTGCAAATACTTTTGAGTAGTTTAAAGTTATCGAGAATATATCATTGTTTTACGTATGTTATTTATGCAATGGTTACTATCATCGCTGTATTTGTTACGTTACAAGTGATTAATCATGCCTGAGATACCTCGTTCGAATATTTTTTAATCACACTATGAAAATATCATTATTTTATATATTTTATTTCTGTAACGTCAACTGTTGTCATTGTATTCGAGGAATTCTGTAATGATCGTACAAATATAAATCGTTTGTTCCGTAATAATTCTGATTAAGAACAGCGACCGAAGTTTCGCTCGTTGGTTCGAATACTCTTTGCTAGGGGCGGTGAATTGATTTTCTTATGCATTCATGAAATTTGAATTTCCATTGGACCGATATATTAGGAGAGTGACATGGAATATTGCGGAAAAGGAGGCGATAGCTTGCAGCGGTCACGAGTAACGGAAGAATGGCCGATTTTTTGCAATAACGCGAAGTTACGAAGTTCAAACAAAGCGAGGCTCGAGGCGATCGTTCACGGACCGCGTGCTTATACGGTAAGACATGCGAATGGAGGTTAACAATACATCGCGGATATGAATAACAGCACGATAACCATTGCACGATAGATCAAACAAGTGTTTGGCGTGTCAAGGAAGTATTATAGGAACTTGAAGAAACCGGGGGAAGATCGATTATGGGACGTCTGCACGATATTGTCGCTTTGTTTGCGAAACGTCGTTTCACAAAATATTCTCAATTTCATAACTTCTTTGGCACTTCCCGAATGTTGTTACAACAATAAATAACACTTCAATATAACACTGAATCTCTACGTCTAATTTCAAGAAAAATACTAAAGTACAATTGCAATTCTTTGTAACAAATTTCGTACAAAATCCTCCATCCCTTAACTCAAAGATTTCAAATTCTATTCATAATTTGACTTCCCAAAGATTTCAAATTCTATTCATAATTTCACTTCCCAAAGATTTCAAATTCCATTCATAATTTCACTTCCCAAAGATTTCAAATTCCATTCATAATTTCATTCCCAAAGATTTCAAATTCTATTCATAATTTCATTCCCAAAGATTTCAAATTCTATTCATAATTTCATTCCCAAAGATTTCAAATTTTATTCATAATTTCACTTCCCAAAGATTCCAAATTCTCATTCACATTCCATACATTCCAATATACTCCTAATTTCGACTAGTTTCAACAATCCTTACTTCTTCACCGTTCACATAGTCTTATGCATCGAGTGCAACTGTTGCTACCGATCCACAAGACTAAATAAATCCATTAAAGATACATGAAGATCTGCCGATCCCCTAAAAAAAACTCGTCCAATTTAAGCATTCCCCCCCGAAATTCCCGAAGATTACGCGAAGATCGTCCCCGGCGCGGCGCCGCGGGAGTAAGAAATAATACCGCGCCACTTAGCAAACCGCGAGGTGTTGCGAAGTTACGCCTGCGGTCAAGCATAATGTTACAATTTGAAGCTATTTGCGTGTAACCAACTGGAAAGCCAGAATCTCCGCGGGATCCGCGGTATCTTGTTGCCGTCACCGTGCCGCTCGCTTGATATTCTCGCGCAGGCCGGCCAGCGCGAGGAAAGAATTATCTCCGGAGGAGATAGGGTGGAAGAGCAGCCGTTCTATTTGCGTTCGCTATTCTCGGATCATCACTTTTGAAATGCGCGCGCTCGCAGAAACGGTCGCGCTGCTATTCATCGAACTGCCATCAAACGTAATCCCGGGATCGAGTGTCTTCCCCGCGGGCGAATGTCTTCGCCTTTATCGTCGATCGGCCGCGATTGTTTTATTGACAAATCCGCCGGTAACTCGAGCATTTCTATTTAGAAGCCACGAGCGGAGGAGAATTGAGAGTTTTAGCTTCTGAAATTATTGACAATATATTCGGAAGTTGTGCAAAGGGATCTCTGATCTAAAAGACGAGTACATTTTTTATTAGAATTTACGAAAATATTGAAAATTGACTTGAGCCCAGAAAAGGAAACTTGAGAAAGTTAATGTTTTAGTTTCTGAAATTATTGGCAATATATTCGGAAGTTGTGCAAAGGGATCTCTGACGTAGAAGACGAGTATATTTTTTAATAAGTAAATAGGATATTATTTATTTCATTGGAATTTATGAAAATATTGAGAATTGACTTGAGCCCAGAGAAGGAAAATTGAGAAAGTTAATGATTTGGTTTTAAATCGTATTCTTACAACTTTGCTTCTAATAACGCGATACTTCAACATAAGAATATCATCAAATTTCCAAAATTGTCAAAACCCCACAATTTACCCAACAATTCCAAAGGTCTTCATTTTCAAAGACCTAACCCACGAAATCCATATTTCGCAAAATCTATATCACACAACAATTTCCCTCAAGAAGAAGTATCCTTAACCCCTTGACGTACTATTTACTTTCGCTACTAATCTCGTGTAACATTTTACTACCGGCAATTTAGAAA